AAAAAAAAAAAAAGGAATCCCTAATCTTTCCTCTGATACTTCAATGGTTAACCAGCAATTTAAACTTAATACTGTTATGCTTAGTGGTAAAGATGCAAATAGGCTTAGATTATATAAAGGAAAATAAAGGAAAACTGCTTTTTGTTCTCATGTAAGCATCACCTGTAAGACTAGTTTCTCTAGGCTCTTTTCTGGCAAATGAGGTTGCAATGAATCTTTTCAGACATCTTCATGGGTGTAATGCCAACTCTGGCGCATCCTCATATTTTCTAGAAATTCGTGATTCAACAAGTAGAAAAATTTCACCTAGCTTTCCAACGACTATCTAGAATAACTTAGGTTCAATTTGACTTCTCAAAATAGCAAGTCGTAATCACCTCCCAAGCTACAAAATCAAGCAGTATGTGTCTGGAAGAAATAGCAGAGTCCCTATGCTGATTCTATGTTCCCACAGATTAATTTTCTAAAAATCAACTTATCCAATAGCTCTTCTTTATTTTAGTAGTTGGTAAGATTTTATAAATGGCACGGAACTTTCTGAAAAGTATTTATTTGCTGTACTTGAATCATTTTAATCCACAGACAATATGTCTGTATAATTATTTCCACAACAAATTTTCATTGTCCTTAAAATTATTTGTAGTTACAAGAAAGCATTGGATTTAATTCAAATTTGCTTTGAAAGTAGGTGGAGAAATTAAAAAGCTCTGTCTCATTTGTTATATTTTTAAGTTAGTGCCTGTGGCTTCATATTATTGTCTCAGTTTTTAGTCATCATATGTTTTTGTGACTTTAAACTCTCTTGTATTAATAAAAATAAACATTTACAATCTTCATTGCTAGATAACATAGAACTTGATGGAAAACAATAAATTCATTTGGACTTACTTTATATTTACCTTGCATGTATATTAATGGCTTATTCCCTACCCTATTATCTGGTTCTAGGGGTGCATATAGAATAGTGTATTGATAAATCTTGCAATTTCCCTATGCAATCATATAATGTTTTTGAAAAAAATTTTTGAGTATTTATCCTTTAATGGGCCACATAACTGAAGTATTTTTCATATCTCCTGCTGGTTTGGCAATTGGAATAGTTAGCTGAATAGAAAATAAAAACACTGGACTCAGAGTCTAAACAAACTTTTCATTCTTGGTTTTGTATTTGTTTTTGAAACGGACCTGCTAGTTACCACTTAACAAATGGATGGCACATACTCAGAGTCATCAGATATAAAATCAAATTCCAACATATTAAAAAAATTCAGAATACATTTGACAGAAATTACCTTTGCTTACAAAAATTCATTACATACAATCTGCATATTTTTATTGGACCAAGAACTGTCCTTTCCATTTACAAAAACCAAAGAGAAACCTGATGGATAAGTAATATTTTCCTCCCGACCTCCTGTAAGTGCACCATGTGTAGTCCCAAGTTTTAAAGCTTATCTCAGGGTCCTGGGTCTCCAATTAACTACACTCTATTCACTGCTGTTCTCAAGCTAGAGCAAAGAAAATCAAATTAAGTCGGCAGCTTTCACCAGGAATTTGAAGGAATCATCAATGCCAAGAGCAATGTTACTGATGATGATGTGGAGAGAGTGTGCAGGGTTGGCTGAGCGCTTGTGATTTTCCCACCTGTGAAAAAAGAAGCATCAGATGAAGCCAATTTTTGTGGTCTTATTTGGACAAGGCAAGTGTTCTTAGAATCTAGGACAAGAGTATATTATCTGTCCCTTTAATGAGTGGTTTTTTTGTTTGTTTTTGCAGGGGTACTGGGGATTGAACTTGGGGGCACCGAACCACTGAGCTACACCCCATTTTTTTATATTTCATTTAGACAGGCTGTTACTGAGTTGTTTAATGCCTTGCTTTTGCTGAGGCTGGCTCATGATCCTCCTGCCCCAGCATCCTGAGCTGCTGGTAGTGAGTGTTCTTCATACTTTGGGAACCTCAGACCATGTCTTATTTCCTAAGTTGCAAGGAGAGCAGAAACATTTATGCAACACTGTATTGAAAAATCTAAGTCATGCTAACAAACGCATCAAACCAGGAGATTTAGTGTAATCTCCATTAATGATGTGCTGATGGAAAACATCCCAGGTCCCTGAATGTAAAGTAATTTTGTAGAACATACTTCAGGAAGTGGAGCATAAATAATTAGCAAAAGTGTGAAGCAACATGAACTCATAATTTAATTACTTCTGTTAATTTTTAAAATTTAATGACATTTATTTATGGGTCTTTGATTATTTCAAGTGATTGAGCTTAAATTCTAGATACTCATGCCAAACTTGGTAAAGGTTGGTTTTTCATCTTTCTTTCTTACACTCAGGAGATTTCTTTTTGAGACCAAAACGTTACATGCACTTAATTGCATTAAATTAACTGATCTGAGTTGATTAGTCTGAAGTAGCTCCAGTAGCTCCACATGGCCACAAATTAAGAATGATTTTTAATACTACCTTCAAGAATGGTATTTTAAGCCAGAAGACTTCTAAAATATCATTATGATCAACATGTAATGAATACTCACTCTATCACAAGCACTGTATTAAGCCCTTTATAAATATTATATTATTTGATTCTCACAACAACAAACTTCAGTAAAAACTATTGTGTATCTATCTTCCTGTTGAACTTGAGAGAATTGGTATTTAGAAAGAGGATAGAACTTGATTAAAGTTCCTGAGCTAGGAATTAGTACATCTGTGATGCCTTAATGTTGTCTATCTTAAAACAGTGTTGGTTATAATCTTAAGAATAAGGATAAAATATTCCACCTAGTTTTTGGACTCTTCTGTCAAGTTCTCTCCTCTGACTGGATTGAATATAATGGAATCATAATGGTGATTTTTTTAAGAGATAGTCTAAATTTATTTTTTTAGATTTTTTTTCTAAATTTATTTTTTTAGTTTTTTTTTCTAAATTTATTTTTCATATGCCTACTTAAGAGGTAAAAAAAATTGGTAAAAAACACGCAAAATTGGCAACTCTTTCTTTGAAAATTTGTATAACTAATGCAATAATAAAACTTATTAATCAACATGTTGGAGAATTTTAGATATAGTTCAACTTGTACAATAGGAGTTTATCGTGAAATTCATAATCACCTGTGAACTGTAAAGGGAGATGACAAAGCCTTACTGGAGTTCTATGTATATGCAAATAAATAGAAAATGGAAAAAATTTCTATATATTTGAAAGTGACTGTCTTCTTTTTAAACTAACTTACATGACATTTTTATAAAAGCGTTTCACTTTCAGAATGGTAAATAGAGTCTATACCTCAAATTCTAAGTGAAATCCACAAAGCTATCTTTTTAGTAGAGCAAACAATACAAATGGAGTGGGGAGGAAAAACAAAACAAAAAACAAACAAACAAACAAACAAAAAACCTCTCCACACATAGCATCAGCTTGAGCTGTAAAAACTATTTCACTTGGACAAGTCATTCAATTTCTTAGACATTTGATTTTTGGAATATAAGAAAAAAACAATCATTGCTTAGGCTTTATGAGTCTAAAGTAGATAATACTAAGAGATTTCATATTATTGAAACACAGAAAATGGATTACACTGGCCAAGATGTTATTAACTAAACCATTAAAGTTGCCATTTCCCCCCATAGAATAAAAGTAATAATTAAAATAAATGTGAGAATTAAGGTCTTATATAAGTACTTCCAAGCTTGGGATTGAACTTATTCAGAGGATGCTATACAATCTGATTGCATTAGAATTAAAAGGAAACTTCTAGAATCATAGAGTAATATCATTCCTAATTGGAAGGATAAAGTAATGTATGGAAAACACGTAGCATGGTTCCAAGAATATTTTGAGGTCTTAATAAATGCTCATTGTGTTGTTAGAAATTTGACACTTCTGAAAGAAGAAGAGTTGTTATTATTTTTTTTCTTTTGAAACATGAAAAATATCTTTTGCCTTTCAAGGTGCTCTTGAAAATTCGGCACCCTCACCTGAACAGTTCAATTGTGAATTAATCAGCACAGAGACATTATTACCATTCTTGCTGTTGAAACAGCACATTTATAAAGGAATCAGAGTGTATTAAATTTTTGTATGACCACAATATACTTAAATTTCGACTTGTATTCCTGAAAATGTCAGTTTCCTACATCTTGTATTACAGTTTTTGGTGAAAAGTTAAAATATAACAAAGAATTCACCTAAATTCCTTTATTGTTAATGTTATCTTCATGTTTAATTGTCTTTTAAAACACATTTTTTCTCATTTTAAATATAGAAATGATATAACCTTTCCCCTAAGCACTTCAATGTATGTTTCTAAAGAATAAGACAATTTCTCATATCACAAAAGAGTGATTTCTACAAATTGACGTTGCTGTAATCTTTTCTAATATACAGACAATCAAATTTTATCAATTGTCCCAATAATGTCCTTTATCTCATTTTGTATTTTTAATGCAGAAATTTGGAGTTTATTAAATAGTATGTTTTCTTCAGAGTCTGGTATCATTCATTTCTCTATTTTATTTGCCATCCATTCATTTTGTGACATCAAAAAATAACATAAGCAATACCTCTTTTCTGATTTCAAGTTGGTCAATGTATTAAATAGTGCCATATACACAGAGCCTTAGAAGATATCATCAGAAACTTCCTTTTATGTTGATCATTCTGTGTGGGAATGATTTCTCAACAAATAATACTCATAATTAACCATTAAGTGAACACCATTTAATACAAGGTTTTAATGAAAAATTGCCCAATACTTTCTCAGAGATTTGCATATCTAATTAAATCTTTTTTGGCTACTTTGACAAAATGGTTTCTTCTAATTTTATAAAATCTCCCTTCCTTTAGTTAGTTTTGTTGTACTGGGACAATAATGATTGTGGTGGTAGATATTCAGGTATCCTTGGAGATAAACTACCTAGATTTGAATTCTGGTTCAGCAATAGTGTGATCATGGGCAAATTACTTAGGTGGCATTTTTCCTGTTTTACAGAGAAAAATCTCTCTCATGTGATTGTTACTAAGATTGAATAATATGTGTATAAATTTTTTTGTGCCTGTTATATAGTAAAGGCTCAGAAAACAAGAAATTAATATTGCTTATAATAACTATGGGGTTCAGTAATATAATTTGTTTAGAAGTCAAACATCAAAATTTAAAGTTTAAAGGGAATACTTTTAAAATAATCTAACAACAAGAACAATCAAGATAATAGAGAAGTAGGTACATCAAATGGGTGCAATATTACTTTAAAAGCAATATTTCAAAAGCCAATTTGGCCAGCAAGGTACTACTTGAGACCAAGATTGAATTCTCGTAAATAAGTACATTCTAATAAAAGTATTAACTGCTTTCAAGATTTGTAGAAATTCTGCAATTGTGAGCAAATTACCATGGCTCATACAGATTGTAGGAGGAGGTGGAAATCAAAGAAGAGAAACCCCTCCAAAAAATATCTGAACTGTGCAATCCATCATTCAGTTTTGATGAGGTTTTTATCATCTTGCATTGCAGGTGGCCACCATAATAAGCCTGTTAGATTAAAACTTACCTGAATACGATGGTACCCTGATTTGGGAACTAGCTGTTCCATCCCCTCCTTCACTGTATGCTCGGACTTCAATAATATAGACTCCAGCATCGGGGAGTGGTACTACTGCTTGAGGTTTCTGCGTTTCAATGACTTGACTGTTGCTGTGACCCTCTTGCCTATAAAAAACCTGTGAGGAGTAACAGAGGTTCAACATTTGAAATTCAGTTGAGGATTACAAATGCTTACTGTCTATATCTGTATGTCACATTCTGAGCTAAGCGCAAGACGCTTACTGCTTAGAGGTGTAAGCAAATGTAATACATGTGTTATACACTGCAATGAAAATATACTTAGGGAGCCATGGAAGTCAAGAAAGAGTTTAATTCTGTCTTGGGCTTTACGAAATCCTTTCCAGAAGAGGTGATGCCTGAGCTAAGTATTTGAAAATGAATGGAGTTTACCAGTTGGAGAATACAGACAGTGATAAGATTAAAAATACACCTAGCTGATAAGAAACCGTGGCATTGGAGTATGGAATCGAGAGAAGATAGATATGGATAGTGAGAAATGAGACTGGAGAAGTAGGTAGTGAGGAGACACACCATAAAAAATCTTTTATATCTGGTTATTGAAATGAATAATATCCCAAGGGAGATTTAGAAGCTTTGTCTTTAAACTGTTTGAAAAGAGTGAAAAGAGAACTTAAACATGTTAACAAATCCTTAAGAATTCAGGAGATGGTTGAAAAGTTAAAATTGTTTTAATTTTTATTTTGATGGTGATTTGCTTTTTGGTGAACTGATATCAGGATAATACAGGGTGGCAAATTTGAAGTTTTTTTTTTTTTGACATCTGCTCATGGTGCTGTAAACAGGCATGCATGGTAAATTCATCTACAGAGCAGGACACAGTGTTATCCTGTGTTTACATATCACAAAACTAATGGCATAGGTGGGTTCAGGTAGCTCATAAGATCATCTGTCTAGTTAGAGTAAAAACTTTGTTAGTAATTATTTTGATGACTTTAGAGCTATTTTACTATATTGTGCTAGTCTAAGTGCTTTTGCCTCTAATAATAGTTCAGTATAATTTTTGGAGGTATAATAGTCAAATAGCAGCAGTTAAGAATGTTTAAATGCATTTTTATTCATTTTCATTGTCTTTATACATTTTCATAGTTATTGGAATTATAATATGATTGCTTTGCATAATGGAAATAGAAATGGCTTTGTAGTCATACAAGTCTGGATTCAAAACAATTTCCTACAAAATAAAGTGAAACAAAACTAATCTCCTAAACCTTCCTGGCTGGATAAATTCCAACAAATTACTAACTTTTCTTGATCTGCATTCACTTGCTGGTAGAAAATGGTGCCACGTAGTTTATGGATTTGTTAGAAGAATGAAATGAGAAGGTGCAAAAATACCTAGCACAGGACCTGGTGCATGTAAGCTTAATAAGAAAAAGCTATTCCCAGCCATGTGTGGTAAAGCCTGCCTGTAATCCCAGCAGTTTGGGAAGCTGAGGCAGGAAGATTCCAAGTTCAAAGCCAGCCTCACCCACTTAACAAGGCCCTGTCTCAAAATAATAGGAGCTGGGAATGTGGCTTAGTGGTCAAGCATCCCTGGGTTCAATCCCCTGGTTCAATATATGTATATATATTCTTATAAAAAATGTGTTAATGTGTTTAGAGTTTGAACTAACTTATATACAAGAAAATAAACTATAGAAAAGCAATCTTTTCTTATCTTGAATCTGTCTTTACTCAATCCTTCTGTGTTTTAGTAATATATACTTCCTTCATCTTTTGTGGGCTGAAATTTACTTCAAGGTCTATAGAAGGAAGTGACTTCTTCTCTGTGGAAGGAGGTGACTTCTCTTGAAAGCATAACATATTGTATACTTATATCTACTGAAATGCTTTTTGGGAAGGATGCCATAGTCTCAATGAAAATGCAAAGTGATAAGTGCATCACCAACCATGTATCGGGCATCTCATGTAGGCAAGCCCATAGCTGTATACTGGAGATTCATGAAAACAAGACCATGCTTCCTGACCTCATGGTACTTAACAGTCTAATATTGGAGACAGATGCAATTCAATGAAGTGTGGTATCTACTACATTAGGAAATGTGTATGGTGCCAGGGCAGTGCAGAGTGAATTCTTAGATTTGAGGAATTAAGAACACTTTCTGGAGGATGTCTATAACAGTATTTTTAGGTTTAAAAATGACAAATATGTCAAAATTTATGCTTCCAATTTTGACTATAGCACTCTAATGAATTATAATTTGATTATATACATGAGGCAATTAGAAATCAAATTTATGAGATGGGGAAGTATGTAAATTGGTGAGGATTGGCAGGGGAGTAGCTGTTTTAGAGGACACTGTTATTATGGTTCAATAAATTACAATTTTTATGACAAAGAATAATGAATCCAGCAATGCATATCTAATGTTGCTGTAAAATAGAGTTAAAGGAAACTTTGTGGATCAGTTGAGATTTAAGAACAAAAGGTAAAGGCAGCAAAAATAAAATTAGTTAATGGTCATAAAAGGAGTTTAAAAATTACTTGTGGCTTTTACCAATACATCCACGAAGATATAGTGCTATGTGTCAATAAGTAGGTATATTAATTGAAAAGTTAAACTAATAGTTAAATTTTGGTGCTTTTAGGGAATCTTGGCTCATTTTAAATTCCTTCCCTTATATAACCACTGAGACTCATTGTAAATTTCTGTCCTAAAAATAGAAAAAATGAAGGTAAGAAATATAAGATGAAAGAATTAAGACATGTCAAAAATAATTATTGACAAAAAGGAGGTAAGGGAGACCTTTGAGACTCTGGACATTCACAGATTGGCAGGTATGGTGACAGTTACTTTTCTGCATAGAGAAAATTGTCTAATGTTGACTATTTTCAAATTCTATCAAAAAACTGAGAGCATTGGGTTATTCAAATGGATAATCCTAGAAAAAAATTAATTGGGATTGTAATTCTTAAAGGCATAGTCTGTAAGTGGCTCTTCTATGTGTCTAAATGGCTGAATGGTAACAATATTGAGAAAAATGCACCAAAAATATAACAGAATAACATTTTTGCTGGTTATAAGTGCCCATAAGAAGAAAAGATCCTATTAAGGTCGAGCATCTTGGGAATAGTTGATGAAGACAACTGCTCTTCATAGAGGATGAAGAACCCAAAGCACAGTGGCAACAAGATAAAGTGAAGCAGGGCAAATCAAAACTGCATAAATTCCTTTTTTATTATTATATATTTTTTTGGTTCCAGGGATTGAAATTGGGGGTACTCGACCACTGAGCCACATCCCCAGCTCTATTTTGTATTTTATTTAGAGCCAGGATCTCACTGAGTTGCTTTAGTGCCTTGCTGTTGTTGAGGCTGGCTTTGAACTCACGATCCTCCTGCCTCAGCCTCCCAAGTGGCTGGGATTACAGGAGTGCACCACTATGCCAGACTTTTTTTTTTTAATCAAGCATAATCAAATGTACATGGTATAATGAAACTCATGTACCCATGACCCAAATTAAGCTGTTATATATGTCTTTGTAATTTGTGGAAACACAGCAAAGACTGACTTCTATATTTGGAATTGATATAAGATGAAAGAAGCACTGTAAAATACAAGAAATTGGAGGTGGCCATAACTCAGAAGATCTCTAAGGAGATGGAGAAATATAGGAGTGGGCTTCCAAATCCTATAGTGTGTGAAATACATTGGTGTAAGTGTGCACACATCTCAGGAGGCTACTAGGCCTTCATTTATAAGTTGCATAAGCAACCAAAACTATGTTGATGGATACCATAATAATTAGAAAATCCTGGACCTGATTACTCTGTTAGCATTATAAATAGGTAGAAAAAGAGAGGTGCAAAGTGGGTATATATGTTAAGGGATTGTAAATCTAGGAAAGGATATTTTCTAGCTGCTTACCAGAAAAACTAAAACAAATTTTTAAAAACAAATTGTTTATATAGCCTTAGGCCCTTGTCCTCAGTTTTTTTCCAACTGCTTGTTTCTTTTCCGAAGGGGAAAAAAGTTTCTCTCTATAGGAAAAGGGATATTTACACAAGTGAGAGCATAGTCCTGGGGCATTCAGTATTTATTTTCTTTTTCAGTTGGGCATTAAAATCTGTATGAGGAAACAAGGCATAGATAAATTGGCTATTTACTTTATAATCTTGATAAACTTCTTTCATGGTGTTAAAAAAAAAAAAACTCCATTCCCAAGATCATTAAGAAGAATTTTGAGAGAATTTACTTTAGTTCATAGTTTTGTTATTGGCATTTCTGAAGTAAGGCCACTAACATATTTATAATATGTGCCCAAATTACCAAGGATTGTAGATATAGACCCTGAATGAATGAAATTACCAAAATACAATATTCTTAATGCAAGATAATTTGGGGGGAGATACCAAGTTAGTGAAACTTTTATTTGAAGTTTTTATTCCACTTTCCTAGTCATTTATAAATAATGCATTGATAAAATATTGCAGTTGATCTCAGATTGGGAAATGTAAATAAAATAAAGTGGCACTGGCTAATTGACCAGAAAAAGTCATGAATATGATAAATAAGTTATCAAGTTTTATTCAATCTATCAAATAGGTTATCTTAAGTGGGAATAAATTGTGTTAATATATCTTAAGGTCTATGTAAAACGGACATCTCTTTTCCAACAATTTTCTGGTTCTTCATAATTTTCTTTTGCTTACTAATAGAAGCTGTGATATTTTGAAATTATTGCTATTAATATAGACTACTTAAAACCCCAACAAATCCAGAATCTCTTGAGCAGTCTCAAAAACACAGCAGTGAGAAATATTGCACTAATTAATGCTTTATGTTTATCTGAATGGGTTCTATTTTAATGAGGTACCTAAAATCATGATTCCTGCAACTAGCCATATATGTTTTTACCTCGATGTTTCTGGAATTTTAATTTGCCTTTCTAGTTCAGGAGATTGCTTGCCAGTGTCCTAATGATAGTAAGTTGGTTTCTGAATGGTGTGTCAACATTTCTGAAAACGCTACTACTCCTAATCATTGAAAGTTATATTTGCTTTAGAGGACAGGTTATGAGGACATGGTCTTTTGGAAAGATTTAGATAAGAGAGTGCTACAGGAAAGACCCCCAAAAGGGGTTGTTTACTGTTATGGTTTAGATATGACATGGCCCACAAAACTCATGTGTGAGACAATGAAAGAATGATCAGAGGTGAAATGATTAGATTATGAGAGGTGTAACTATTAATCCATTGACACGGATTAACTAGGTGGTAACTGTAGGCAGGTAGGGTATAGCAGGAGGAGGTATATCACTTGAGGTGTGCTTTTGGGGTTTGTATTTGTGCCTGATGAATAGAGCTTTCTCTGCTTTCTTGTTACTTGGTTCCCACATTCTAAGCTGCTTTCCTCCTCCCAACCCTTCTGCTATGATGTTCTTATATCTAGAGACCAAGTGTGGACTAAACCTCTGAAATTGTGAACCAAAATAGACATTTTTCTCCTTTACTGTTCTCCTCAGGTCGTTTGGTCACAGCAACACAAAAGCTAACTAAAACACCCACCTATTACCAAAAGATCAAATTCAATATTCCTGAGGATTAGACTCAGATTTGAGTATGTGTGTGAGAGTTTTGTGATATATACTAATTATGGTAAGAAATGCTGCAGGTTGTGTCTTAAAATATTAAGGAGAACTCCTTATCAAAACAATGTATTTCCCATTTATGACTTCAGTTTTTAAGTGTCAGAGTTTTGGCACTTCATACACAAAACACATTGTATGATCATCTCTGATAGCAGAAAACACACCAATAATAATAATGCTTTTCAGTCTACATATTGTTATTAAAGTATTTTCAAATCTACAAATAATATTCAACTAAGAATTTTGTCTGGAGTTTAAGATAAAAATTGAAGCTGATTTTTCTGGAACAAGGTTTTGAAAGTAAGCAAATTCAATGTATAGACCTCATGTATTTAAAGATCAAGGTTGTTTTTTAAAAACAAGCTGAGTAGATGTCTTCCTATTTCAGAGCTCTGGTTGGCATATGACAGGATAAGTGTGAGAAGTGTCTTGGAGCTTGCCGTCTCTCTCCATGGACTCTTTCCTATCTAGCATGCTGGCCCTAGCATTTCTTTCTTGTGTTTCTTTGTTAATAGTAAGTCTTTCTATTCAGTCTAAGATGTCCAGTCTTTGCCATCTGCCAGAAGTTTGTGTGTGGGAAGATGTGCCAGGATCCTCTGCCTGGCACCATGTGTCATGGAGCTATTCATACTGAATGATTCTCACACTGAATTCAGACTGTTGTTGCTTTTCCTACTCCTTCCCTTCCTGTGCCTTGTGCAGTGTGGGTATGGAGTGTGACTGCCTTGGCCTCCTCCACCTGTAGGCAGGTGCCTCATTCTAAGATCTAGACAGAAAATGACTTAGAGAATACAAAAGGCTTATTAGTGGGCCTTTTTATGCCTCGTTAATGGTCTGTCTTCACAAGAACGACTTTTGGGATGAATGTGTATGCCAGGAATGAAGAAACACTCACCTTGTAACCCATGACTTCTGATTCATTGGCTAAAGGTCTGACCGGCTCCCAGCCCAGAGACACCTGAGAGCCTTGTTGCTCCCACTGGAGGTTGCTAGGTGCTTGACTGGGGGCTGCAAAATAAGAGAAAGTGAACTGACAAGGATTCTTAAATATGTGTCTTCATTTAAATCCTTTCAAGTATTTTAGACTTTTCACATGTTTAGTAGTTGGCCAGCCCCCTAGGCTTCCTTCCAGCTGGAGTCAGATAAGGAGGGTTTTGCTCTAGGAGTGTCATTTTAATAGCTCCTCTACTGAGCTTTTGAACTTGAATCCTTTTATCTGCCTTTGGTGTCAGAATCGCTTAGCCTTGTTTCACAGGAAGATAACCTTTATCTACTGTGAATGCAAAAATTTCTGAGCTAATTTTGGAATTCAGATCTAAGCACTGAAGCAAGACTATGAATCACCCCCCCCCCACCCCCGCAACCTGCCTTTGACTCTGCTTATTATGTACCTCACATGGCTTTCAGAAACATGAAAATGTGTTTCCTTTTTGTCTGAAACAAACAAAAGCCCAGGTCACTTACGGGATTTCTTGGTGGTTGCACTCACTTCACTGCTAGGTGGCCCGTATCCCGCTCCATTGTAAGCCCGCACTGTGAAGTGATATAACGTATTTCCTTCTAATCCTGTCAGGATGATAAATGACTCATTCCCCCTAGTTTTGACTGTTTCTGCTGCATCTTCTTGTTCCATGTCTTTCCAGTAACCAACCTGTCAAGAAATTATCAAATGACAAATTAATTTTGAAGTTTGCCTTGAGATTATGATTGCTTGAATATTTAGAAATTTTTTTTCTGGATGTTGCCTGCAGCCACCCCGGGAAAGAAATCATCCCTATATGACCCAATTATCAGGACTTACTAATGAGATCAAAACTGCATCCCTGGCCTGATTTGTATGTTTGAATCACCACTACTACCAAAGCAGCACTCGGCAAAGCGACAAAGGATGAGACCTCACAGCCCTGGCCCAGTGGTGTGAAAGAGATACAAATGCACTGTGATATTTTTGAAGACTCATTCAAAGAAATTGCAGAAGTGCTTTTCCTTTCACAGGCTATCAGAACAATTTACTGTGTTTCAAAACCAGGAAACCTTGCATGAATTAGGTGAGAAAATAGGTATGAACAATATTTCCTTTTGGGCTTTACATAAAGGTGAATCTCACAAGCTGTATTAGTTCAGTGCAGAGAAGATGAAAGAATACCCACAATATCTTGGAGTAAATTAAGTGTAGATAAATAGTATTATTGGGCTATGGAAGAATGACAGAATGAAACAGCTTTCTATTGAAGCGTGGATTGTGTATTGAGATCATCTTTCCCTGTTTTGAGTTCATGGTGGATGGTCTCATACCTTTGTTTCCCTGAAAAGCTAAGGCTTAACTCTGCTCAAACACTAGAATTTATCCCTGCCTCAATTCATGGAAGATTAATCCTCCCAACACCCTGCACTGTACCCATTTCATCTGCCTTCAAGGGCCTTGTCTACTGTGATGTCTATAAAGCCAAACATTTTCCAGATTTGTTTTCAGCTACGGTTTCTGGTAAACAATGTGAATAGTGAGGAATTTGAACTGGAAGATGCTCTGAAGCATGTGTAGGATTGCCACTTCCATTTGTGACCATAGGAAGTCACTATGGGCTCTCATCTCAAGAATGAACACAGGGAAGAGAGGACTAAAGGGGGCACCTTGAATGAAATTGACCAAATTTGTTGTTATATTATGTGCATGTATGAGAATTTAAACATATTTTGTATAATTATAATGCACAATAGAAATACATAAAATAAATTTTAAAAGAATGAACCTGTGGATTGCTATGACTTTTTAAAATTTTATTGGTGTATAATGATTACACATAATGGATTCAGTGTGACATACTGACATATGCACATAATTTGGTCACTTTCATTCCCTAGTCCCTCCTTTTGCCCTTTCCTACTCCCTTCCTCTGGTCTCCTGTCTCTACTTAACTGGTCTCTCTTCTAATTGTATGAGATTTCCCCACCTTCACTTTTTTTTTCATTTTATTCTCTCCAACCTTCACATTTTGAAAGAAAACATACTCATCCTTGACTTTGATTCTATCTTATTTTACTTAATGTGATGCTCTAAATTTTCATATATTTTCCTGCAAATGACATAGTTTCATTCTTCTTTATGGCTGAATAAAACTCCATTTTTTTTGTGTGTGTGTGTGTGTATCTTCTTATCCATTTATTGACTGATGGACACCTAGGCTGGTTCCATAATTTTTCTTTTGTGAAGTGTGCTGCTACAAACATGGGTGTGAATGTACCACTGTACTATGCTGGTCTTTAATTCTTTTTGATAAATGAGTAGCAGTGATCCTCACGACATGCTTGCCAGCAATTAGTACTTGTATTCTTGAAGCTTGTAATTCTGATTTGAGTGAGATAGAATCTCAGTGTAGTTTTGATTTGCATTTCCCTGATTACTAATGATGATGAACATTTTTTCATATACTTGTTCCTTTGTATTTCTTATTTTGAGAAGTGCCTGTTCAGTTCATTTGTCCATTTATTGATTGGGTTACTTGGGGTTTTTTTAGTGTTAAGTTTTTTGAGTTCTTTATATATGGTTCTAGATATTAATCTTCTTATCAGAAGAGTAGTTGGCACAGATTTTTCCCATTCTGTAGGTTCTCTCTTCATGTTTAAATTATTTCATTTGCTGTGCAGAAGCTTTTTAATTTGATGCCATCCCTTATTAATTCTTGCTTCTATTGCCTGAACTTTAGGAGTTCTATTGAGGAATTAAGTTTCAGGCACTTATGTGTTGGATTATTGACCCTGTATTTTCTTCTATAAGTTGAGATGTTTCTTGTCTTGTACCTGGTCTTAGATACATCTTGATCTGACTTTGTTCAGGTTGAGAGATGGGGATCTAACTGTGTTAGTCTACATAAGGGCAACAAGTTTTTCCAGCTCCATCTTTTTTTTAAAGAGACTAACTTCAATGTACATTTCTAGCATCTTTGTCAAAGTTCAGATGACCGTACTTGTGTGGTTTTGTCTATTTTCCATTCTGGTCTCTGTATGTATTTTTATGGGACTACTATACTATTTTTTATTATTATAATGTTTCAATTTAATTTAAAATCAGGTATTTTAAATTAAAACCTCCAGCATTGCTCTTTTTGCTTTGTATTGCTTTGGATATTCTCAGTATTTTATTCTTTTTTATGAATTTTAGGATTTTTTTCCTAGTTCTGTGAAGAATGTCATTTTATCACAATATTTCAAAGGACCCAACCAATCTAGGTGCTGTCCTAAGGCAAAGTGAAAGAGAAATGGGGAGAGGACAAAGAAGTTACAAATTTCATCTGAAGCTTTATGAAATGAAGACTGTTATCTGTTGGTCATATTTTTATTGTATTATTTCATATATATTTATAAGTTTGAAAAAACCTTATTCTCATGTTTTACACAGAGCGTGTTATTGCTAAGCGACTTTCTACTACAGTTTATTAGAGGAGGAACAAACTTTCACCCAGAGATTGGACATATTGACTGATGGAATTTTCTTTGGGCTTCCCATTATGGGAGAGGGCAGACTGCATTTTAATCTGTGAAAGATATAATTGCATTATGTTTGTATGCAATATCATTGATACAAGTTGATACTTTTGGGGAGCTGATGAATAGGGAAAATAATGCATATGGATATTAAGTGACTGAATGGATAATGTATATTACAGTTCAACTGTTCAACATCCATTTCACCCTAATTCTAGTGTGTGTATTATACTGATGAAGATGGAATACTAAAATTCATATTTCTATGGCTACCTTGCAATTAGAGTCTTGATGTGTTTAGATTCAGTCAGTCAGATGCAGGTGCATCAAATTTGAAAGTTACAAGTGAGATGAAGGTGAACTTTTGCCTTTTTTTGTGTGTGGGAGTGGGGGGAAGCCCAGTAATGGAGGCATTTGGGCTTCCTTGCAGTAGCATTAATACATGTCTCATTGCTTACCTATTGGCCTTATGAAAGTCAAGAGGCAGCTCACAGGGCAACCATTTTGCTGGTGTAAATCATAGTAGACATAGTGGGATGCTGGAAGTGGCAAGAATAAAATCCCTTGGGATGAGGGTGGTTTCCTCAGCATGGCGCCATCTTGATCATGGTGGCCTCCTAACCAAGACAGTGGCATATGCTTCTGGAGCTGGTGGTTTCTTGATTTTAGAAGACTTCAGTCTCACCTCTAAGGGCTTAGTTCTATTCCTTGGCTTTGAGGGTTATTCTTGAAAGACTACCATGAATTCTGTTGACTTCACACTCTCAGTAATTTTGTAAGTCAATTATGCCTGTCATAAAACACTCATGCTAAAAGCTAGTTAAAATAAATCAGTTCTTCACAATTAAACCCTCCCTAATATACCTATGGATCTTTGATTTATATATAACAAAGACTAATAAAATGATCAAATCCTATTTCTTAGCCCCATCTTCCCACTGAATTGAATGAACATAGTTCAGTGACTGAAATTTGAAAATTTCTTTTTACAAATGAGAAAACTTGTTATATGTACAAAATGAGACTAGATTCTTATCACTCACTCTGCACAAAAATCAACTAGAAATGAATCAAAGATTTTCAAAATAGAAACTATGCAACTCCTAGAAGAATAGATAGAGACAACACTCCAGCATATATGCACAGCAAGTGACTTTCTTAATAGGACCCCTAAAGCTCAGGAAATAATACATGCGATGGCATAAAATTAAAAAGCTTCTGTATAGCAAAGGAAATAATTGAGACTGTGAAGAAAGAACCTACATAATGAGAGAGAAATCTTTGCTAGCCATTCTTCTGATAGAGGATTAGTATCCAAAATATAAAGAACTCAAACTTAACACCATAAAACCAAATAACCCAATTAACAAATGGGCAAATAAACTAAAAAATACTTCTCAAAAGAAGAGTTATAGCCAAGAAATATATGAAAAAATCTTCAACATCATTAGCAATTAGGGAAATGGTAATCAAATCTATACTGACTGATCTCACTCCAGTCAGAATAGCAGCCATGAAGAATACAAATAATAAATGCTGGAAAGTATGTGAATAAAAAAGAACAGTTTGACACTGTTTGTGGGATTGTTAATTAGCAACTACAATAGAAATCAGTATTGAAGTTCCTCAAAAGACTAGGCATGGAACAACCATATGACCCAGCTATGTCACTCCTCAGTAGATTTCTGAAAGATCTAAAATCAACATACTACAAGGCATGCAGCCACATCAATATTTATAGCAGTCCAATTCATAATGGCCAAATTATGAAACCAGACTAGGTGTCCATTAATGGATTAATGGTAAATAAAATGTATATATACAGAATTGAGTTTTATTCAACCATATAAAGAATAAAATTGTTATTTGCTAAAAAAATATATGGAACTCAAGAACACTATATTAAGTGAAATCGGCCAATCTCAAAAGTCAAACATGTTTTCTGTCATACTGAAGCTAGAGAGGAAAAAGAAAAAGGTGTGGTGGGGGAAAATTGAAGGAGCATCAGTACAGTAGAGGAAAGGGACCAAGGGAGGGAAAATGGGAAATACTGGGGAATCATATTGGCTAAACTGTATTGCCATATTGTGTGTATTTATGAATATATGACAAATATCACCATTATGTACAACTATAATGCACCAATAAAAATATGGAAAAACTTGATTT